GGAAAGGAAAGGAAAGGAAAGGAAAGGAAAGGAAAGGAAAGGAAAGGAAAGGAAAGGAAAGGAAAGGAAAGGAAAGGAAAGGAAAGGAAAGGAAAGGAAAGGAAAGGAAAGGAAAGGAAAGGAAAGGAAAGGAAAGGAAAGGAAAGGAAAGGAAAGGAAAGGAAAGGAAAGGAAAGGAAAGGAAAGGAAAGGAAAGGAAAGGAAAAGAAAAAGAAAAAGAAAAAAGAGGAAAGGAAATCTGCTGACAAGCCAGGTGTGGTGGCATAGGCTTTTAATTCCAGCATTCTGGCAGGAAGAGGCAGGAGGAGGGCCCTGGTCTACAAAGGGAGACCAGGACAACCACGGCTACACAGAGAAACCCTGTCTCAAAACCAAAATAAACAACAACAACAAAAAACAACAATCACATCTTCTGTCAAGCTCTTTTTAAAACCAAACAGCCTGACATGGTAGCATTGACCTTTAAGCCCAGCATTGGAGATGCAGAGCCAGCCAAGGCTACATAGTGAGACCCTGTTTCAAAAAAAAAAGCTCCCTCCAAAACTCTCTCTCTCTTTCTCTCTCCCCCCAAATAAATTCCTTTTGCTTTTAAACAGGGTCTTACTACACAGTACTGGATAGCCCTAGAATTCACTATGTAAACTCTGAGATACTTAACCCTGATTCTAAATATACTAGGATTTAAAGCAACCATGCATGGCCACAAATCACTTCTTAAAGACTCTTGTGGATTCACTTAGCTAAGTACAGTTACTCTTTTTTTTTCTTTTTGGTTTTTCGACACACAGTTTCTCTGTGTAGCCCTGGCTCTTCTATAACTCTATCTGTAGACCAGGCTAGCCTTGAACTCTGAGATTCATCTTCCTCTGCCTCCCAACTGCTGAGATTAAAGAGGTGTACCATCACTGCTCAGCTGGTGGTAGCACATTTCTAATCCCAGCCTTCAGTAGACTGAGATATGTGCATCAAGAGTTCAAGGCCAGCCTGAGTTGCATGCACAGACCCTGACTTAAAAAAGCAAAACAAGCCAACTGTCTTAGGTGGCAGTTGAGTCACAGGTGGTTATTTTATTAGGCGTGCCATTCATTAACGCTATTTCTGCACAAAGTGTAGCTTCACTCGATTATCTTTGAATCAGCATGGTCCCTGTTTGCATTCCTGAACACACGGACAGTTCTCTCCACGTTACTCCTACAGCCTTACAAATCACAGTGCTACCGTATGAAGAGAACAGAGTCCATCTCCCCACATGCTTTGGGGGAGGGGAAATTACCCCAGTCATTCATGTATATGCAACTTCCATTTGTTCAAGAAGCAGGGAAACTTTCAACACGTACAGTGGGTAGATCCTGCAGTACAAAAACTGTGTGGCACCTGCAGCAGTCATTATAGAACGCTCACATCATAAGCTGTAAAAGGGTTCATGCCTTCTTGCCTGGCACAGTGAACAGCACAGCACAATCCGGTAAAACATGTATGAACACATCTCCACTATCTTCAGCACATACATTCTCCATTCCCTTGCCTCAGCTCAGTGGGAGGGTCTCCACTGGTACCTCTCCCCCACAGGGACAGTTTCTCCAATCTGGGGAGAGGAGAGGGGCTCAAGCGTGCTCCGATCAGCATCTCTGATCCATAGCATCTCTGATCCAATCTTCACCATCTGGGAACTGGTCTCCCATGAGATGAAGTCTGCCCATTACCTGGCTGTGTCTATGACCAGGTGGTCTGTCTGTGTAACATGGGGCAGCTACAGCCTTGGCAAGCTTGACTGGTTTGAGGTTCAAAAATGACATACGGCTCTCCATCTGTCCCCTGTGCCTTACTTTCACAGAACTGGAAATCCCAGGGGTGTCTATGTACTAACCACTCCGCCCTCCCGGTACGGAAACCAAACTGTCCTTTCTACTTCCTTCCCTTTTGAAATAATATAATTATTTTGTCACAAGTTGGGGCTAGAATGCCATACAAAACAGCTGTCAAAATCATTCACAAAGCAGTCCCGTCACTCCTCAGTAACTGTCATAGCCTATGAATGGATGCCTGGAGGGAATGAATGAATGATGCTTTGATACTCCATGGAAATCTCAGCACAGTCACCACATCTGTGTTGGACATCATCCAGATCATGCTTATCACCCTGGAAGAGGCTCCCAGTACAGACAGTGTGTTCCAATAGGATGCCACTGGGATATATGGGCCAATTTGCATTCATTAATAATAAAATTTAAGAAACAAAAATGTTCCCAGTTTCTTTTTTACGATACTGTTCTTAGCGGGAAAAGTTTTTATGGTGGAGGAATTTTAGCGCTTTATTTCCCAAATAAGTAAGAGCTAAGTGTGTTGACACACATGTAGTCCCAGCATTTCGGAGGCTGAGGCAGATGGAAGGCCGTGAGTTTGAGAGCAGTGTGGGCTACACAGTAAAATCCTGTCTCAAGGGTAACCAAAGACATAAAATTATAGCAACAAGTCAGACTTGGCTCAAACAGGCGTGACGTATCTAACATAAAATTCATTTAAATAAACACGCCCTGTACCATCCTCTTAACACATGCATAGCAGCAAGCTTTCTTCCTCCATTAATTCACAGGTGAACTTTAGAGCAGAGGTTCTCAACCCTCCTGATGCTGCAGACCTCTAATACAGTTCCTCATGTTGTGGTGACCCCAACCATAAAATTACTTTCATTGCTACTGCATAACCGTAATTTTGCTACTGTTACAATCATAACATAAATACCCTCGTTTCCTGATGCTCTCAGACAACCTCTGTTGAAAGGCATCACGACCCATGAGTTGAGAATCACCGGTTTAGGGGCATCCAATTATTTAAACATTTTTCTTAAAAATCAGGGCATTGTTATCCAGGGTAATTTCTATATAGTATATTTTCTCTATAGTAGAGAAAAAAGTCTTGCTCAAACATTCAGGTATCATGACTAGCATTCTGGAATATTAAAACATTTCAAATATGAAAAAGCCATCTATGTTTAAATAAAGAGACGGACCAACCATGCTTTATCCATGAAATAGCCCAAAGGATAATTCAAGAAAACTGGGAAGAAAGAAAATAAGATAGGAATGAATAAATGATCAAACAAATGAATGAATGGAGGGCCTATGTAGGGCAAAACGCCAACCCACAGAGTCCATCTGTGAGCACCCTCAGTAGGAACCGGGTTGGCTGGGAGGGCTCCTCTCCCATCAGTGGTTGGTGCTGGGCTGGGGACAATCGGCCCACCCCTTGCGCTTCGCTGCTCTGGCTCACCTGATGAGGACGCACTGGTTGTCATGGCGCTTCCACAGGCAGCGATAGCACTCGTTGGCAATGGCGAAGATGTGCGGTGGAAGCTCGCCCAGGTGGCACCTGCTGTATTGCTCCATGGTGGCGCGCTCGTACAGGCCGGCGATGGGCTGGTAGGGGTTTACCGAGGCGATGATGGAGCCGATGTAGGTCTGTAAAGAGAGGGAAAGGGCCAGGCAGTGTTACCGGGGCGGTGAGACCACGCTTGGATTCGCACCTCCCCTGCTCCGCAATTTGCACAGGGACCTAAACAGACCCAGGGAAACGATCATGTCTCACGGCCTCAGTGCCCACTGTCCACACCGTCCTTACACGCTAAGGTACACGACCATGTCACTGCGCAGAAGCACGGAGCCGGGTCGGAGTGGGCTTTCAGGCAAAGGTTAACAGCGAATGAGAATGGGGGATGGCATCGAGCCCAAACCAATCCCTGTTCCCAGGTGACCTCCCTAATCCCAATCCTTTCCTGGCACAAAGCCCAGCCAGTTCCGGTTCCCTTCCTCCACCCCTTGGCTGTTATGAAAGAGCAGGTGACAAAAGCAGAAATTAGAAAAAAGGGCAGGGGGTGGGGTGGGGAGAGGGTACCGGAACTACCGAATGAGCAGTTGGGGTGGGGAAACTCGTGGAGTTCATCGGTTAGGGCTGCAAGGCGGCGCTCAGCACTGGGGTTGTCTCTGAAAGAGTTAAAAATTGTCCCAAAGGCAAATCCCATGCCAGGCTCTACCAGCCACAGTTTTTGTTTTGTTTTGTTTTGTTTTTTATTTTGTTGTTTTTAGAGACAGGGTCTCTCTATGCAGTTCCGGCTATCCTGAAATTCGCTCTGTAAACCAGGCTGTCCTCGAACTCAGAGATCCACTGGTCTCTAGGGGCCAGAGCCACAACACCCCGTTATGCAGCCACGCGTTTTTAAAGATCACAAGGCTATTTGGCAAATGCTACAATACCTCATGAAGTGTCATATAATCTGTCAGGAACATCGGTGCCCGGAAGCACCATCTTTCTGAGCCAATATCCGGGCAGAAATTACTCAGACCTTCCAGAGCCCTATAACACAAGCTATTTACCACAGCTTGGAGCCACGGGTTCCCTCCACAGAGATTTCCTCTCACTGGCACCTCATCTAGGTTCCCCAGTTTTCCAGGGTCACACACACCGCCAAGGCAGTAAGTCATCGGAGGGAATCAGCATGGAAGACACCTCCTGCCTCCTAGGGAGCACACCTGCTGTGGCTTTACAAGCCAGTGCGCTTCTCCGGTTCCCATGTGTTGAAGCCCTGGCCCACAATGCCTAAAAATAGCACTGCTCTTGAAGACAGGGCCTTTAAAGAGTGATTAATTTAAACTCGGGCTCTTAAGGGGTATATGAATCCAGTTCTGCCCAGTGTCTTTATAAGACAAGCCAGCTGGGCACACACAACCCCAGGGATGCGCACTCGGAAGCAACCCAATACAAGAATACAGCAAGAAACCTGCTGAGAACTTTGCTCTTGGACTCCTGGCCTCAGGAACCATGAAGCATGGGTTGTAGGGTTTTGTCCGGACAGCCCAGTCAGGCCATACATGGGCCTAACCTCCTCAGTATTCACAATGACCCTAGGAAATATGCAGTTCTACTTCACCTATTTTTTTTTTTCAGGTGGGGAAACTGAGGCATGAGGAGACAATTTTGATTACAGCTACAGAGTCAGTACATGATAGAGATAAGATCTGAGTCCAGGCAACCTAATTCTAGAACCTTCTGTTAGCACATTCATTCAAGTACTGCAATCCTTCAGGGTTGGGACAGCAAAGGTAGGCAGAAAGTCCAAACATTCTGAGAACACCTGTACCTCATTACTACAGTTTGTAGTGATTTGTATTCATGGTACCTGCCAGGAACACTAGGCAAAGCCTTGCATGTTCAGTGCAACTTTTCAAGTGTAAGAAAGTCTAGATTGAGAAAATAATGTAAACCCAAATGAGATTTAAAAGATAAATGGCATTACCATGGTAATTGCACTCTTAGGTTTTATAACCAAAAAGAACGGAATGCAGATACTCAAATACTTGCATACCCAGATTGACAGCAGCATTATTTATACAGCCAAAGGGTGTGAAACCCAAATGCCTATCACCAGACCACAAGTGAGAGAGCTGTGGTACATCCATACAACAGCATAATCTTCAGCCACAAAAAAGAAACACAGTAATTATATATACATATATCCTGTAATTGTCAGGGTTTGAAAGCATACCAAGTGAGAGATACCATCTACTTCCAGAACAGGCAAATCTATAGAAGCAGGAAGATGCAGGTTGAAAAGCAGTGAGGGGGCAGAACTCCCCGTGGGAAGCAACAGGTAACCAGTACCAGGTTTCCGCCTGGGCTGGTATAGAGGTTCAGGGACTAGACTCACGTGTGGGCTGTTCAACATTAGGAATTCACTAAATCTCAGTTCTCTGTACATTTAATGTGACAAACCTACGTAAAGTAAAGTTCACCTCAATTAGACAAATTGCTGTTTTCTAAATAAATGTGCAAGTCTTTGGAAATGTAAACACCGTAGAAAGTCTATTTCTCTTTGTCACATCTGTATAGGGAGAATCTGGCCAAAAAGGAAAACACAGAAGCCACTCTGCCCCTTGGGGAAGGACAGGGCAACACTCAGGCCACAGGCATTCTGGTCCCTTTCTTTTTGTTAGCTCTCTATCAGGGAGATGCTTAAGGTTGTGAGTGCTGGGTTCTTACCTCCATTTTGTCACTTAGGTCTCTCTACGCCCTGTCAATGTCCTTTTTAATTCTGATCCTAGGTGTGGTGGTTTGAAAGAGCACACACCCTTACCCCACCCCAGGCCCATGTATTTGTATGTTTAGTCCCTAGTTGAACTATCTGGAAGGGTTAGGAGGTGTGGCCTTGCTGGAGGAAGTGTGTTCCTGGGGGTGGGCTTTGAGGTTTCAAAAGCCCAGACCAGTGTCAGTCTCAGGCTGTCTCTCTCTGTCTCTTATCTCTCCTCCCTCCCTCCCTCCTTCCCTCCCTCTACCCCTCTTCCCAACTGCAGATCAGGGTGAAAAGCTCTCTGGTACTTCTCCAGCAGCACAACTGACTGCCTGCCTTCCACTACACTCCCCACACTCTACCACACCACACATGATGATAATAGACTGACCCTCTGAAGTGGTGAGCACCCCCAATTAAATGCTTTCTGTGAGTTGCCTTGGTCATAGTGTCTCTTCCTAGCACCAGAACAGTAACTAAGACACCAGGCAAAGATAGCTATATGTACACCGACAGCTCTTAGTTGCCAAACAAGACCCTTCCGTGTGGGCTGGCAAAGGCCACTACTTTGACCTCTTTTGGCAGACACTGAACAGAGCAGAGAGGAAGACAATGCCTCTACAATTCCTTGGTGGGTGATTGAGGGTAAGCATGGGGATCAGGTTCTGACAGATGCCACTGTGGACTCACAGCAATGGTCTCTACCATCCAGAAACCTACAGAACTCAGCTCAGCCCAAGTTTCTGTCCTATACACTCTGATTTTACTTATGTCAATTCCCAGAAGCCCTTTCTCCATGATTCCCACTCTCTCTCTCCATCCCACCTCTGAAAAGCTGATAGAACAGTCCAAGTCTCACCCAACTAATTATGCACTACACAACACAGGTCAAGGAATGGGAAGTATATACAAGAGGGTTTCTCAGCTGTCTCACTCTGCTATTACACTCTCTAATGTCCATCTAATGAGCAATTTGCCTGAATTATTTCTTGGACATCATCATCACCGTTCTGTGATATGTGAGTGCATTCTCAGAACAGTGGCTTCAGCCCACAGAAGGGTCCTTACTAGTGAACATTAGCCTTCTATGGCAAAGTAGGAGCCAATGCACACTTCTTAACCTCACAACAGAGATATATTTTGAAATAACCATCACAGTAATAGTTCATAATACTCTACTGAAATAATAACAAGTTACAGTGTTTGAAACCTAACCTAGTAAACATGGTCAAGGGCACTCCTCCCTCCCAATTAAGGATACCACCCTTTGCAAAAATGATTTTGTCTCTAAAATGCATGCTGTGTGTTTAGGGTCAGTAAATAATAAGAGAAGTCCAACTAGCAGCTAAGTAAATGGCAGATGGAAGGAGCACAGCCTGGCATATGACATCAAGTGGGGCGGAAGGCACAGCACTGTGAGACCCTGACAGCTGTGAAGCAGCATTGGTTGCAAGCTTTGATCATTCTGCACTCTAAAAAAGGGGTATGATTACTGCTCCAAAAATGGCCATGATGACTCTGCAGCTTAAGGCTGGGGACACATGCAGGTACCAGCTTCTGTATGTTAGAGTCCAAATTCCACAACACTAAATAACTCAAGTCATTTTTATGGTTGTTCAGAAATAGAAAACACATCCTATTTTGAAGCATGTAAACTTTCTTGCCTGAGAAGTTCCACATGACTCACCCCCAGAAAAACATACTTCCTTACCCACATTAATAACTTTGAACAGCCACTGCACGCGTTGCCTAACTGTGATCCTTCGCCACCAAATCTACCAATTCAGGGCCTGCAAAAGTAGAATGCACCTATAGCTAGGCCATCAAAAACATAACTTGATGTTGGGGGTTGGTCTGATACTTGCATATCGATGCCAGTTATTGGCCTTCAAGATCTTCTTGTATAAACTTGCCTAAGACATTATACAGGATTGGTTGATTAAATGGTCTATACCTGGGCAGGGAAGATTGGGGTTGGCTAAAGTTCCCAGGCTTTGGGTTCAAGAGAATCACAGGAAAGACAGACAGGAAGAGAGGAAGAAAGAGGATGCCAAGACAGGTTAGCATGGAGAAGAAACCATGCGGGCCAGGAGAAGGACTCTGAGGATGGTGTGGAAAGGCCCAGATAAAGAATGCAAGCAAATATTTATAAGATTATAGATGGAAGGTAGACCAGATGAGGATGGTTAAGAAGGACGGTATTGGATGGGGGCTGGGTGGTGCATGGTGAGGTTATTGAGATAGCATAGATAGAAGTATCTGCTCAGCCCAAGATAAATAGGCTATATAAAAATCTAATAGGTGTCTGTGTTTTATTTGAATGATAGTAGGTTAGATAATATCATTGTGATAATCATAGGGCAAATAATAAACAATATATAGCCCAACACTCCTTTT